AAAAACCCAAGGGTTGCTCCAGCGAGCTGCAGCGACCGGGGCCCTGGTGTAAACCTGGACACGAACTCGTACCCTATTCAGGAGCCACCAGTGACCGCCACCACCTATGCAGTATTTAAGTAATGCCAACATGAAAGAAAAATAAACCGTGAGGGCCAAGTGAGGAAATAAAAGGAGAAAGGAGCTCCTTTGTTTCTGATCGAGGATTTTGATGCAGTTCTGCCTGCACCTTTGGGGTGCTCTGGCGTGCCTCCTGAAGGCAGCATCGACACCCCCGTACCTGTGGGTGACGTTTGGCTGTCACGTCAAGCGGACTGCTCCCCAGCAGCTCTGAAACGTTCTTATTGCAGCGCACAGAGCGGATCAGGTCACAAATCTACTTATCTTCATGGCATTGCTTAAATGTCCCAAAGCTCAAACCCAGCTCTAGAAGTCACCAGGTTTAGAGTCACCAAGCTTACGCGTTGCTTTTAGAATGACAAGAAGAAGATTAAGTTAAAAAGAGTTTTAAAAAGTAAACTCTTCATTGTAATGCTGGCATGAATTTTGCACATCAAAACAGCAACTATGAACGCCCAAATCTCTTAAATATGGGCAGCGTCTATCACCTTTTACGAGTACCTGCTTCGCTCAGTTAGCAATAGCTTACTGATGGATATATATGTATCTATAAGTAACAGTACTAATCCATGAAACATCACTTTTGGCTATATGTATATGGGGGTAGAAAAGCTTTGGTAATTGTATGTGATTTTACACTGCAGACTTGTCATTACTACAAGACAGCAAGTTACCAGCAAGAAGGAACAATACTGGAGGTAATACTTCTGCTTTTCCGGAAACACCATAGGGGACTTACATTCAAGCACACACATTATGCTTTTCTATATGCGTGACAATGACTTTCAAGATTATAAAAAGTAAGAAATTGGTTATAAATAACTGTAGATCTGACCAATTTGCTCAAGTCTCTGAAGCTGCAGTTAGACATTGCTCTATGTTGTCCGAAAGAATGGCTTGCTGTACTGTGCTGTACCTACAGGTGTTGCAAGGCTTTCAGTCAAGACAACGGCAGGGCGAGGAATATCCAAAGGAAAGAATTTAACGGGCACGATGCTCACTTCACTGAGAAATCTGTTCATTTGCTCAGACACATCACATTTCCATGTGCTGAAAGTAAACGGCTTTTAATACAGCACCCCAAGCGTACCAACTACAATTTCAAGTCCACCAAGAACTCTGCTGCCGTCCCTACACAAACCCAGAGTCCGGTACCAGAGCCAGGAAGCTGAACCTCGACTCCAGCAGTATTTCTGCGAGTGCAGAAAAGTCCTTTTTCTGGTATGCGCATCAGTGTACAATCTCCAAAACGCAAACACCGAACCTGAATCAGCACAGGAAGCCCTCAGGAAGTGCTCCAAAAATCACTTTTTAAAATTCTGAATTGAAATGTCTGCCACAGGTTATACCTAAAGCACACTTTTCAGTGCAGTTGGGCGAATTCTGGTTTGGGCACTTTGAAAAAACCCATACTCTAAGACTGCTTTGGTGACATGGAATTGTATGACATATTTCAATATGGTGTTCAAATATGAACCAAATTAAGGCATACAGATAAAAAGGCACTAGCTAAAAAAGAAAGTAACTTTTCATTTTGTTATACTGAAAGGACTGGTTAGCTACAAATTGAATTGCAAATAAAAAATCTTAAGCCTATATTTAAACTGTCAAAAAAAAATCTATGTCGATTTAACTTTGCAATTATTAGATCCATACCTTTTTAATTCCTTGCATGGATATTTCTATCACCCAAATTAAAAATAAACAACTTGCCTTAATACAACTGAAACTTTCAGTCACTCTAAGAGGACTGTTAGTTACAGCATTACAACCATACTACAGAAGTAGCTTAACTTTTGCTACTTAATACATGCAGACAGAATAATAAAATTCATTAGTAGCTAAGTCTTCTGAAAATATGCATACTCACTGTGAACCTCAATCCTTATTTTTTTTGAGATCATAGCTTCACCATGGCATTTACAGAAAAGCAAAACAACCCCGGAACAGTATTGTTTTCATTGGCATTTTCCTAGTAATTGGATTCAACCGTTAAGACTAATTCATGATTCTAAAACGCTGGTATCTGTTAGCAGCATACGGGAAGCTGCGAGCAGGGATCTTGGCTCTGCATCCCTGCCCCAATGGAGCGTTAAGCACGCAATTCCACATGCCCTCTCTGATTCCAGAACGAGGGTTTGTTCGTTATCACACCAGTAGTCAAGGTAAGTGCTTTACAGACATCGCATACAGAGGTACTATGTGATTTAATGCAGCTTGGTTTACTGCGTTACCCCAGTAGGGGACAAATATTAGCTCACCTTTTGGTAAAAATCTGATGTAGCTTCATAATTACTTCTAGCTCAAAACATTTATGTTAATAACTGCCTAATTTGCTCTAAGTTGCTTAAGTCAGTAGACAAATTCTCCACAGGGTGGGAAAAAAAACCAGCTCAAGTCTAATCTTGGTTAAATTCATAAAGTTTTACTAGGATCACCAGAACTGGCAAACATCATCTTCATTTAAGAAGTACTGTCTTTACACAATGGTAGCTTTCTGCTATGTCAAAGAAATTAAGGAAAATTAATTCTGCAAATTCTTTTTTTCCTGGCTCCAAAATGCGTACCGTTGTCATGACTGAATGCCATTTCTTAGAAAAGGCACAAAAGCAGCAAGCTGGATTATTCAGTAATGAAAAATCACAATGAGGAAGTGATATTGCAATATACATGAGCCAGCACTGTCTCACAAAAAGGACACATTATAAGAAAACTAGATTCTGAAAATTTTCAAGCTTCAGAGAGTGCAGTTTCTTTTTAGAATAGTATATTTAAATCTTATGAATGCTACAGACAAACCTGGTTACAATTTCCCTTTAAATGTCCTTTTTTGGTAATGTAAAATTTCCTTACCTTTTCAGATATCACTGTCCACTACTGATTTTTATATACATTTTCACCTTGGTTTTGGTACTTTCTTTATCTGTTTAAAATCAATCATTTCAATTACACGATCTTTAAATTACCTACATAAACTATTAGGCTCTACGTTAAACTTCCCATCCCTGCTGTCACTAAATTTTGCTTATAAAGCAAAGGCCCTTTACAGCAGATTACATACCAATTCTTCTTAAAGGGTTTCATAGCTTTTATCTAGTGAAGCAAAAAAAGTCAGCACAAGCTGACTTTCCTTTCAGCCTTCTAAACTTCTCCTGGTCTGACTAGTTCTTCTCATGCTCAGAAAACCTTGCACAGTTGTGTACCCTGACCAAGGAAATTATAAGCTGGGTAAAACTGAAGCAGGCACCACTCTCAGTCTCAGGAGAGATGGCCTCAAAAAAATCATTCACTCCACTACAGGTAAAGTGATTCGGATAGATCTATACTCCTGCTTATGCCCTAGTACAAAATTTGGAAATTAGCAGGATAAATTCAGAAATCTCATGAGTGAAGTACCATAGGAATGGGTAAGCTTATAGTTCTATCTCCATGCGCTTTGTAATTCTGACAGTCCTCTAAATATGCAAACCAGGTAGAGCCTTGTCAGAGTGGACAAGGTTCACAGTACCAGCCCGCTCTGTCTTTACAATACAACAAAAACAAACAATGAATCATCCAAAACAGTATACATTATTTCAGTTCTGTAGTCCAATAGTTTATTTCCAAATGCCCTTTTAAATTATTTATGTTGTGTTCTTCTACAAAAATATGAGAGTTTGACATTTCTGTTGTGAAAAGTCAGTTATTCACTTCACCTGGTCAGTACCTGGACTGCTCAACTGAGCAGCAGTATTTCTGAGTTTTACTTTTGTTCTTTTATTATACTCTTTCAGAAATGGAAAGAGTGATTAACATATGTTTTATGATAGCTGGAAATCTGACAAACACCAATCATCTGGATTATCAGGCTGGAGTAATCACGCTCATGATACTCAATTGCTGGCTCTCTCTGCACTTTTGGCCTATTCGTCATACAATCTTTCATGCTGTGCCTCCTTGTTCACGTGGATTCATCATCACTACCTTATTAAAAATATAACTGGAGTCTTATCTTTCTCAGTGACTTATTCCTGGTGTTAAAAGATGTTTAACTTTATTCCAGGACATTTCAACACATCCCAGATGACTGAATGGTGTTACTAAAACAGTTTTTTAGTGCATAACGGGAAGAATTTTACATTATTCAGGCACTTGATGTTGACATACATTCCACCCTAGCGCCTCTCAACAGCTTTGAAAACATTTCTTATAGCTCATTTTGAATCAAGTAACTCATATACTGCACAAGGATTAGTCACTCCCCTTCCCCTCCAGCCATGCACGGGACTGTGGAGGAGAACTGACTCTTGACATTACTATTTTTAATTATTTAAGATAACCGTCTCCCTCCAAGCTTATGCAACAGAGGTTCTCTTTGGCAGATACAGCAGGAGGCATTCTCCTAACTATTTACATCCAACAGCTGACCCTTGTCTATTACGGAAATTTTCCCCTTGCAGTATAGTAGCTCCTAGGAGTCTGGGTCCATAATCTGTTTACCTGTAATTATTTTCCTATTAAGGTAATACAATAGTTCTACACCAAAACCTCTAACTAGTACATCAGTGTTGAGTTATTTTTTGTTATTTTCTTTTGGTCACATAGAAGTACCAGTTAGACACGCTGCTGTACAAAGAGTTCCAAGTTCTTCCAGCTTTATCATTAACTCTCAGAACTGCGTGTTCCAGCTTAAACCGCAAAATCCAGAAACTGATATAGTAAGAACTTAGAACTCTCTGCCGCAAGTACCTATAATATAAAGAAGAATCACAGAGAAGTAACCTTCTTGTCCTTTAGCTGCATGTCTATTTTTCCCTGCACCCTGAGTCAGTCAGCGGTGTCAGAAAAAGTCACACAGTTCCTGACTGTCCAAGCATTTGTCTTTTTTTTTTTTTCCCCTTTAAATAAGGAACAAATATGTACTAAAGTGCTTTATCTACACGAACCACATCAGTACATTAGAGAAACAAAAAGTTCTAGTCCTGGTGGGAGCCGGGGAGAGAAGATTCTCATTTTAGATACAAAATTTAGATTGTTTACAATCTAAGTGAAACAAAGATTCAAGAGAATATTCTCTCTCTTGTCTTTTTTCTCCTTTTTTTTTTTTTGTAAAAAATAAAAATAAAAGTGCAGTCAAATAGAAAATAAACGCAGTAGATGCAAGCTGAGTTGAGGCAGGCTGTTAGTGATAGTGTGCAAACGTGTGTCTTAGCAGTTCATCTGCAAATGGTCGCAGCTTGGCCTCGATAAAAATCCGTTTCAAGAAATCCCGAGCATGGTCGGAGACATGAGGTGGCAGCTGGGGGTTGGTTGGCTGAGTGGCAATTTTAAAGATGGCAGCCATTGCTTCGAACTCTGCCCACGGGGGCTTCTCAGTGAGCATTTCTACCACTGTACAACCTACGCTCCTGAAACAGAGGCAGAAGTGAAACAGCAGGTTACAACAGAGTCATGCCCTTCTAGGAAAACAAGAAATAGCAGAGAGTGACTGAAATACGACAAATAAGTAGCGTCCACTTAACTCCATGGAGCAAGTGCAGCGGAAAACAGATGTTTAAAAAAATTGCATGTACAGCTGTATGTTTTATATCAAAGTTACACAAATCACTACCTACATCTTCATTGGCCGAAAGCTACTACCTCAGCAAAGAGAGAATGAGGTATTTAACTAGGCAATACCAGCTGCGTTACGGCATGGCCGCTATTCAGTGCTCAGCAGGCTGATACAGGCCCCGAGCGCTGCACAACCCTTGTACCCCAGCTCTTCAGACACCCGCAGGATTTGAGTGCGCTGGAAAGCTTTCTTGCTCATTATGGCCTAACAGAAACGCAAAGCAACAGGAATGCTTTGTGTATTCTGCGTATATTGCTAGCTCATTAGAAGTGCACAAGTTATCACCAAGGAATAATGTGCAAACACAGTGTGGCAGTTGAAAAGTTTAAAACCATACTTCAGTGGTATCTTCCTCTTTCAGTTAAGGATACTAAAAATATACTTAGATTGTCAAACAAAATTTTAAGATCCTAAACAATCTTTGTATACAAAGCTGATGTTTAAAGGATTTAGGAAGGCAGAAGGGCATGCGTATGGCCAGAAAAAACTTTGTTTCGTAAGTCCTGCAAGATCAGCCTCTTCCCCTAACAAGCAAATGATACCGCAAAATGGATAGGCTGGAACAATTTCCCAATTTTCAGGAAGTTTTATGGGTTTTCAAGATGCTTGCAAGAAGTTTTATGGTTAGACAGAGGTACATTTCTTTACACGATAAGGATTTGCTGACTGACAGAAACCAAACTTCAGTATTTTTTTCTTAGTTTTAACAAGGATTTTCTCCATCAAAAAACATGTATTAGCCTTGGTACAAATACTTCGAAGTTCAACAAGTTAACAGCCTGAAATCTGTAAGGCTGTTCTGTTATTCAAGCATAGCAGAATAATTACTATGTGATCTGAAGCAGGCTAAATTAATTTCCCTGTCATTAAAAGTATTGCCATCGTTTGGATATAACGTGGTTCCTTTTTAAACACACAAAGCGTTACTACTCCTGCATATCTACTGGTGCCTACGTATTATTCTGTCTGTTCACAGATCACCTGCAGTGCAAGGAATCTAATTGTTAAAGTCATTTGTCCATTGGGCTGGAGCTACATTAGACTATGCCATATTACACAAAGTATCAAAAATATTCATTTTTTAAATTTACCTTTCCCTCTTAATTCTTAAATATTTAATACCAACTTAAACCGAATTTTTTTTTTTTGATACCTCCCATTGAAGTCTGGCTAATTCATTCTTATGTGCTCATCTTTTAAAGAATCAGCGTTTCATTTTCTGCCTTGCATCAAAGGTATTTCAGTGATAAAGTTTCATTACTGGACATTGATTTAACTGATGCTTCAAAGCTTCACATGTTGCTTTCACCAGTACCACTCCAGGATTTGCAAACAGTCTGGTAATCCTAACGTCATGCAAGGTCAGTTCAAAGGATTCTCTTATGATCCCTAAATCAATGGGCTGAGGAACTGCCAAATGAAAAATTCCCAATTTTCAGTGTTACACTCTCCAAATGTGACTGTCAGTGCTTCTTCAGCTTAAACCCTAGAATGAAACACTCCAACTTCAGATAACGAACACTGACACAGTTGAAAAAGAGCCCATTCTGACATGACACCTTTCAGTAAAGAATTTTTTTTTTTTAAACATACCAGATATCTGCTTTTCTGCCGTACCCTTCTCCACTAATAACTTCTGGACTCATCCAGTATGGAGTTCCTGTGACAGACTTCATTCCTGTACCAGAGAGACATATCGTCTGCAGTCGTTTGCTGGCACCAAAGTCACCGAGCTTCACGTTGCCTGCTGAATCTCGCAGAATATTTGCTCCTGTAAGGAAGGGAACACAGCGTTACATTCATGAAAAGCCCGTTAACATTTTGGTGTGGAAAACGGTAACATAAGTTTGGATTCAGTGATACAATGCAAGATCAGCCTAGTATTTCAAGCCAGGAATGAGCACAGAACATAAATTCTCTATTACTTTATTGAGAAGTTCAGAAAATAATGAAATGTACACATTGGTTTGCATCCTAGGCCTTTTCCAGGATGTCCCAGTCACTTTGTAAAGCCTTCCTAACACAATAAGGAATGTGCCATACAAGGGAAATAAAAAGAAACAGGAAACAGATTTCCACACAACTGAAAATGTCTTCATACTATATTAAAGCAAAATCTCAATCTCTGTTACAGATTTGTTCAAAACACTTACCTGCATAAGCATGTATGAATTGACCGTGATATCTCAACTATTTTTTGGAACAAAATACTATTGATATAAAGCAACAGGAAAATTGTAAGAGTTTAGGGAATACAACAGGGTTGTGATCAACACACCTATTTTGCACATCACCATCTTCATACATATTCGTAATTTGCTTACACAGCACTTGCAAGTCACCTATATATATATATATGTCTGCAAAAAGTAAATGTCTGTTTCCTCAGGTTTCCTGGCAGTAAAATGGAAGAAGTCAGAGTCATTTGATCAGGCAAGTCACCTCTGCCAGTCATTTCTTGTACCAGTGAAGTGCTGGGTAATTTCTATGTAACTGATAGAAACAAAACTCTAAAAATAAACTTTCGAGTCACAATGCTTTCCTCTGCACTATTTGTGATATTGACATAATCCTTTGATATATTCAAAACTATTAATATTAAAATAAAATCAGAAAGAAATGCATCATGATCGTTTTGCAGACAGAGACTATGGAAACATTGTGATGTCCTAGCAGACTTCTGAAAAAGATGCTTATTTTTCCCCCCTCAGCTTACAACAGTGATGGAAATGATGGAAAGCAATCTCATTGATTCTAAGTCAGTATTTTTGCATTTCAAACTTAATCACATTTTAGCACTTCACACAAGAGTAGAAAAGAATTTGTAGTAAAGAGCACTGAACTGTGCACAGAACTATCATTACCTTTGATATCTCGATGGACAATCATATTACTGTGCAAATAGTGAACTCCTTCTAAAATCTGCCGCGTATATTTACGAGTCACATTCTCTGTGAGTGCTCCGTATGATTTCAATTGGTCTTTGATGGAACCCTATGGCAAACAAGAAGTATAAAACACTGTGAATTCTAGAATCACAAGTGGGCTAATAATGCAGTTGAATTTCAATGAAATTTCAATGAAATTTATGCCTGAAATGTAGACATTTAGAGTTGCAGTACTTCTCTAGATCAACTCTATCTGCGCTTTTACCTCCACTGAGAAAAATATAAACTTTGACAAAAAAGAGGCTGAACGGGAAAGTCATATACTGAAATGTTAAGCTGTTAATTTTGAAACTGTCAAACAGCTGAATAGTTCCAGTGTGATGTACAGAAAAAGAGAACAGCAGTATCTTGACTCAAACACTGCTCTCAATTTTTTTTTGATTATTAAATGGTGATACTCAAGTTGGATAAAACACATACCATTTACCCTGGTTAGTTTATACTCAGGAAAAAAAAAAGGTTGTCAAGAAAAAAAAAAAACACATGCTGGAGGATGGTGCTTTATGTAAAAACTAAGACATAAGCAAGTCTTGGCTTAAAATGACATTAAATCAAAAATTCATGGTCTTGTAACTATTTCTGTATAAACTGACTTTGTCACACAGAATTACAAACTGCTACAATTACTTCTGTGACACTGTCCTCAATCTCAAAAACATTCAACAAGGCCCCCAAAACAAAGCCCAGAACTTGCATAAAAAAACCCCAAACAAATCAAAACACTACCACCACCACAAAAATACCCACACACTGCTTTTTTTTTTTTTTTTTTTTTCTCTTTTCTGGAGTCTCACAGTAGAATGCTGTAAGTATTCAGAATTACAGAGCCTATGTTTCTATACAAGCATATTTCATTTAGCTCTGCTGATCCCACTTGGTAAGAAAATGAAAATCTATAGTTTTCTGACATTATAATATTTAACAAAACAGTAGAAGAAGAGTTCAGCATGTACCTAAGTGCCACACAAAAATGAAGCACCAAGATTATTTTCTGTATGCACTTATTCCCACACTGATCTTAGCTACTTTTTGTTTTCCTGAAATACTTAAGCTGTTGAGAAGGTGACTACAGTACAGCACAAGCTGAAGCGCAGCAAAAAGAAACATTAAAATTGAGGAAGAATCAAGAGTTTACTAATGATGATATTGTCTTTTCAAAGACGCTGCCAGGCACTTCTTATGCCAAAATCAAATGCAAACAACTTTTGTGCAAGCCATTGTAATTCTGAAAACCCAAACAAGCAATGGAGAAGACAGGCTCCTATAAGAGTTGTCAGTAGTCATCTTTAGCTACTGTTTTTAACTTGGACATTTCTTTAATATCTGTGTCCATTTCTGCAAAAGCTGTCTACGTGGGTGCTTGTCATATTGCATAGAAACAATGGTTGAAGTGCACTGGCTCTCTTGCTTACCCCAGGCATATACTCCATGAATATAGAGAGGGTTCTTTCTGGTGGATCTCTCAAGAAGCCATAATACTGAACAATTCTTTCATGTAGCAGATTTTTCAGCAACTGAATCTCACATTCAAGTGCATTTACTTCCTAAAAGGAAAAAACAGACAAGATTTACCACATTTGATGTAGTAATAATAATGTTTTGGATTTTTTAAAAGCAGGACAATATGTACATAATGAAGGGTTATGCAAAAAAAAAAGTAACAAAATACTCTTGTAGCTTATGTAAAGTTCATACATTTTTTAACAAGAAAATATCACCATTAGTAAAGGAAGTAAAAAACCCACTATGGCTTGATTGAGGGAAGTAAAAAAACCACTGTGGCCCTTCTATAAATTGACTTTGGGGTGATTTTGCTGTTATTTTATTGTTTCTCTTATTTTGAAGTTAAGTTTTATTTCAGAGCACAGCAGACATCAGTATGTGTATGAAGTTAGTGATCATTATGCAACATGTCACAAGCCTCCAGTTGAGTTAAAAAAAATAAAAAAACCCTTTAAATCTTTGTAATGGAATAATTAGCATTAATTTGTAACTTTTTCAGGATGACAGATTACACTTTAAAAATGCCTTTGGGGACCACTTCATATCGTAATAAAGAAATACAACAAGAAAAACAGTAACACATATGGTACTTTCTCTAGAGCTATCTGAAATACTAAAGTTTTGCAAACAGGAAGTAAGATATTTTGAAACCGACTGTACAGTAAGAAGCTGGAAAAATACTAACCCACAAATTCAAACTTGACTAGATTCCAAATTTTGCCTAAAAGTCTTTCATCAAAACTTACTTTTTATCAGTCACAGGCTATTACTGATACCCTCACACTTCTGAGGTTTGAAGGAAAACAGATTTTTTTTTTTTTTTTTTTTTTTTACACTAGAGGCACACATTACCAATTGCTATGGCAAGTGAGGTCACAAAACTGTTGCTACAGGAGAGACTACAGTATTTTACATTTAACATTTTTTTTGTTACGTTTTTAAAGAAGTAGCAACAACAACTACCCTAGAAATCTACAGCACAAGTCATTCTTGGCTTTCTTCCTTGATCCTACATCACTAGTAGCAGCAACTATAACTGCTAGCCACTCAATTCTGCAATCATGCTTATACCCATTTTTTCCCTGGCCTTGCTCCCCACAGTGCAGAATGCAGTCCTAATGCAGGAAAAGTAATAATTCTTTTTCCATCCTGTAAAAAGCACCAAGTGTGGTTTGGGAAAAAAGAAATAGAAGACTGGTGCTACTTTTAAATAGTTTCTCTCCTCAAGTGTCCATTATTTAAAGAAGGACAAGTTCAATTTTAGAGAGAGAATAAACTGACAATAAAACTTTTGCTATTCAGAGAGAATTACAGCAAATAATACTGGCTAGCCCTGATGCCCAAAGTTTAAAGTACAAAACAAACAATTGCCCCCAAAAACATCAAATCCCCCCAAAAGATAAAAAAGATAAGAATCTCAAAATGTCTTCATAGCCAAACAAAATATCCTCAAGAATTTATTTTCAGGAATACTTAAATTAGTACAGATTTTTCTTTTTATAAATGGAACTTGTTCTAATTCCTGTAAGTATAAATAATCTATTTTAGAGCACACTTCATAATGGATTGTTTAATTTTAGAGACTGAGACTGCACCCAGTTATGTATGTTCACTGCATAAGGATATGTCTGAAAATTAATAAATGGGGTGTAACATTAGAAACAGGTAACCAAATTAATTCTCTGAGGTACTGACAAAACAGGATTCCTAACAAGGATATGAAAACACAACAGGTTTTAAAGCATCACCCTGTGCAAGGAAAGGAACATCAGTCTAGTCTAGAACACACCACTTCCGCAGAAGCCCTTTACAATCTCTCTCTTTGGTATCTGTCGTGGTTTAACCCAGCTGGCAGCTAAAACAACCACACAGCCGTTTGCTCCCCCTGCCCAGTGGACAGGGGAGAGGATTGGGGGGGGGGGGGGGAACAAAATGGGCGGGGGGGAGGGAAGGTAAAACTCATGAGTTGAGATAAAGACAGTTCAATATGACAGAAAAGGAAGAGAATAATAACAATAATAGTAATAATAATGATAAAAGAATATACAAAACAAATTATGCACAGCACAATTGCTCGCCACCCACAGACCACTGATGCCCAGTTAGTTCCAAGCTGTGGTCTAAACCCCTGGCAAGCTTCCCCCATGTAATATACTGAGCATGATGTCATATGGTATGGAATATTCGTTTGGCCAGTTTGGGTCAGCTGTCCTGGCCGTGTCCCCTCCCAGCCTCTTGTGCACCGCCAGCCTCCTCGCTGGTGGAGCATATGAGAAGCTGAAAAGTCCTTGACTTGGTGTAAACGTTGCCTAGCAACAACCAAATCATCAGTGTGTTATCAACATCACTCTCATCCTAAATCCAAACTACAGCACTATATCCACTACTAGGAAGAACATTAACTCTATCCCAGCCAAAACCAGGACAGTATCACTTACCTTGCTGGTTTCTGGACTATCAGGATCAAACTGAACTTGTTTAACAGCCAGTTCTCTTCCGGTATCAGCATCATAACACAGATATACTCTGCCAAATGCACCTTGACCCAGCAGCTTACCAAGTCTCCAATTAGTTGGAGCTCGTGGTGCTGAAAATATAAGTATGGTTTGGTTTTCAAATGAGCTTGTTATTCAGCTGATCGAGAAAAACTGGAATACACAGAAAATAATTTTTTAAAAGGCTATGTTTTTCAACAACAGAGACTGTGCGTCCTAAATCTCTCCATATAAGTTACAAAGATCAATAAAACTTCCTGTAAGATGGAAAACATGAGCTACTTAAATTTATTCACAAAAAAATTTGTGGTAGAGATAGACATACTCAAAACCACTAGAAACAGCTAATCTGAAAAACAGAAAAAGCACGTTAAAGAAACTTAGTAACATTTTAAAAAAAAATAAATCAAGGCATGATTAAAATATAGCAACTACTGAAGTTATCACAAAGTATATTTTCTTCTGAAATGCCACTACAGATACAAAACAGTGCCACTTAGAGTCGACAATTTATCAAAAAACTTGACCAACATCTGCAAAAATAAATAGCAACTGCTACCTACATAACCCTTCTTGGGTCCTCAAGAGTCTAACAAATAATCAAATGTATTTGTAGTGTTTTGTTATCACAGATCCAATTTCCATATGAAAATCTACATGAAGGTTGACAGTAAGCAATGAAAAAACTGATGAGCATAGTGTCTTGGCTTTTTCCTACTAGAGAGATAAAAACATATTCAATTGCATATATTTTGATGACACGCTTAGTTTTGACATGGTATGTTTGAAAGGTAAGAGTTTTACAGTGGAGTTCACAAAACGCCTTAACTTACAGCGACTGGGCGGGCTGATGTCCATGACTGACAAGGTAGGATTGTCTATGTCACTTCCTCTCCTCCTCATTCGGTTATCTTCGTATTCTGGCGTAAAGACGCTGCTTCCACTACTGGTGCTCAGCGAGTGATCAGTGGGACTGAAGCTCACTGGTGATCGGAAGCTGTTCCCCTGAGTCCTTCTGGCTCTTGGAAAAGTTTTACGACCTTCAATGACATACAAAGAATACTAATATTACACTACAAAATATACTGCTATGCAATGTGTGTATGCAAATACTTTATAAATTCCACATAACATAGCTCAAATCTTCCACAGTGTATGATATGATGTGATGATCATGTAATTTACTGGTTTAACTTTCCACCTAGAAGAAAACAAACATTCATCACAGATGTATGTAAGGACTAGACTGAATCAAAAACCAGTTTACATTTAAGTGACTGAAATTGGGACCAAATTCTAGAACTGTTCTGAAACATAATCAACATGCTTCAGAAACCTGGAGGATTGTGAGAGGAGAAACAAAAATGCCACATCTCTACTTTTATTGGCCTATTAAGGTATAAATACCAAATTTCTGATAAATAGGAGAGTGAGAGATATGTTTACATTCCAGTGGCACCCAGGCTGACACCTCTTCATCCTACAAACTAGTAAGAACTGAATGCAGAGAAATTCCTATGCATGGAATCAACAGGCAGATCACAAAAAATATTAAAAAAAAAAATCACAAACAATGCATAATTCAGAGATGGTTACAGCATTAGAATAATAATAATAAAAAACCACTGATCTTCATAAAGGTTAATTACAACCAGATGACTAAGACAAGTCATCTTAATCTATTTAGATAACATGAACATTTTTAGGTCAGCATAGCTTGATGAAGTTTCATCGAACAGAACTCATTGAAATAGCTGAAGGAGTCTCTCATTTATTAGGTATTACACTGGAGAAGGAGTTCCCAGGCGACTGAAGAAGGCAGGTAAAATATCTTTGAAAATGTGGACTCAGATTTATAAACCAGTCTGGCCAATTTGAATTCCAAGAAACAAATTATTAAGCAGTTTTATAAACCACTGAGAAGATAATAAGGTGATAAACCAGCCATAATTGGTTTGTCACATGTTGCTAATCCAATCTCCCCATTTCATCTGGACATTCGCATAGGCTAATTAGTGAAGTGTTGCATAGACCAACTTACTATGCAGAGTGTGCCCAAGACAGATCCAGAGCAGTTGTCAGTGATTTCTCAAAGGGGAGCATAATTTAAGCACCCCCCAGCAGTTTACCTTCAGCTCACTTCCATACGCTATTTTAACTGATGATATAATATGTATGATGGAATGTAATACAGTGAAATATTGCAGATGACATCAAGTTCATGTGGCTGTAAGTCCATTTAAAGATAAAAATCAAAATGCACAATGATATTAGTAAGTTGGAGATGATTCAGAAATCAACAAGACGAAATTCATTAAGGAAGTACAACATACATACTTGAAGAGAAATCAAATGCAGAAACCACAAAGTGTAAAGTAATGGGTTGGCTAAAAGTCATGTAGAAAAGGATATAGGAACTATAATAGACCACAGACTGAACAGCAGTCAGCATAGTGACTATAAAAAAAAAAAATAAAGTGTCATTCTGGAATGTATTAGCATGACTGTAACACACCGAGTTATGGTTACATCCTACGTTACACATAAAGTCGCCATGAGAAAAGCCTCAGCTAGAGTACTCTATCAGGCTTTGGCCACTACAAGAAAGGAGAAGAGACCAGGAAAAAAAAAAAAAAAAAAAAAAGAGGCGGCTTGCAAAAATGTCTGAGGTAAGGTTTAAGGCTTGAAAGAAGAAAACTAAGGAGAGAAATCAGATGTGTGTGTGATGTAGTGTTACATATGGGCAGTGACCAACTTTTCACTGTTAAAATGGAGTCACTAGTTACTAGTTTCTAAATAATTTTTCCTGCAAATGAAGAGAGAGAAAGGTAAGTTATAAGATAAATTACTTTTGAAGTTAGTTACATAAAGAAAATGAGTATCTCTTCAGAGTCATTTTAGAGTTCACTTAAAAGTCAGTGTGACAGATCTTTGCCTCTAATCTTGCCTTAGAGCAAGGAACTGGACCAAAGCTGCCTTGCAGTCCTTCTATTTGGTATTTCTGTAACAGAATTCCATTTACTGCTGTGCTCATTCCATACTGCAAATGAAACCATCTGATCTTTCAAAAAGTTTCTTCACACTTCTCAACTAGTTCTTGACACACCCTCAAGTCAGACAATCCTTCAGCTGCTCCTCTTCCCTTCCTTTGGAAATTTAACATGTGTTAAGTTTACATCTATATTATTACTGTCCAAATCAGTTTTGTGGCCACATCAGCAAGTTTTGTCTTGCATTCCAACAATTAATTTCAGCAGCTAATTGTTAATTCTCAGTTTAAATCACTACTCTTCAGTGTTAATTACTCTTTCAATCTGAGAAACTGTTAATAGGAACACCACTGTATTCGCATTTTTTTAAAGCAAAACAAGAAATTACAAACTAACTGACATACCTACTTTGGATAGAAAAGGGTCACAAAGGTCAAAAGCTTACACACAAAGACAAAGCTTACGCATGGTCAAAGATAAAGAACATTTTCATAGCTGTGCATATGAGTCATGAATTCTGTAATCCAGAACTTTAACAGAGGTAAGACTGCTCAGCAGTTCTATCACTCATTAGAAATTTAGCAAATGAGTTTGGGGAAAGAAGTTAAGCTTTGAATTGCTTCAATATTCTCATTCATTAAGATCTTACAATCTAAATTCTCTTCTTCACTTTTTAACAAAAGAAAAGCAGATTAATAAAGTAGAACTCTTGCAGTATTCACACTTACCGTCATTGTAGTCTTGCTGATGATATGAAATATGGTATCTTCGGGGATAAGTGCCCCCCTTTCCAAACTTCTCAAATATTGGGATATCATACTCTACTAGAAAATAAGAAGACGCATTTCAAAATTTAAGATGTGACAAAAGCATATCAGTTTGGTATTATAAAAACTTAAACATGGGGGAACATATCAGTGGATATGCTTCAACTTGACACATCAGAGCAAAAGAGATTATAGAACAAAAGCCACATATCTAACAAATCACAAGAACTAAAAGAACATTCAGCCAAAAGTTCCAAAGGATCAGGAAGAGCTATAGCTCAAGTGATTTGTAACCTCTTGCTTAAAAGAACGTCAGAGGACTGCAGCATGTCTAATTACTCTAGTTTTAAAAATAGTTTCTAGACAAATTCTGGGAAACTACAGTTCACCAGGAAAATTGGCAGAAACTATTACAAAGAATAAAATTTAAAGATGCATAAATATGAAAAATTGGCGACTGAGTCTACACAGCTTGAATTAATAACATACATTCAATACCTCCTCTTTTAAAAATTATTACAGGAGAAAAGCATTCATAAGGTACAGAAAAAGTCCCTCATGCATAAATAATTGGTTAGAAGATAACTACATAAGATGGGAGTAAACGGTCAACAGTTCCACAGGAATCTGGGCTACAACTCATGCAGTTTAACTATGCATAAATTCTCTGGACAGACAATGAATAGCGAGGTGACAAAATCATCTGGAGAAATAAAGCCAACAGAAGAATTACAGAAAGCTCTTAAGAATCTGTGTGACTGGATGTTAAAATGGCAGATGAAATTCAGTGTAGGCTAGTGTAAAGGATTGTGATGGAAAGTTCCAATAAAGCAGCAGCTGAACTCTCTGTATTGGCTAAGAAGCAAATTAAATGCTATAAATCATCAAGATACACTGAACAAAGTTTTGGTCTACTGCATTTCCAAGGATTTAGTAAAAATGGAAAAGATTTAGAAGTACAGAGATGATCACAGATACAAAATTGCTTCTCCATAAGGAATGTAGGCCTCTATAGACTAGAAAAGCAACAGCTCAAAGGGAGACAAAGAGGTCTATTTAAAAAAAAAAAAAAAAATCACAAAGAGCATACTTCATAAAACACAATAAACTGCATAATTTCTTGTCATAACATACTGTTGATACTTTAAAAGTTTATACAGTTGAAATAGGGACTGGAAAAAATTTGTGGAAGGAAAAAAAATAAATAAATCCATCGAATCACAGAAGAGCATCTTGCATTTGCAGAACCCTTAAGCCAAGCTCCTCTATAGAAGCCTGGTACTGGTTGTGGCAGGAGAAAAGATTAGGCCAGATGGACATTTTTTCTGACTTGTGTGTTACACATCAAATGATGAGAATAAATATTGAATATGGAATTAACGATTGCTATCTATCCCATTGTTAAAATACCAGAGCATCCCACAGGAAAAAGCAGAAACAAATATTGCAAGATCATCTTATTAGAAAAGTAACCATAATAAACACAAGTAAACTAGGTTAAGATTACCAAAAGCAAACTGATTTCTGACATTTCCAACATTTTTGGTATTTATTACTGCCACCTAAATGCTTCTTATACATAGTTTTATTTTTATTTTCATTTAAAATTGCTGTAATCTGTTAAGCACTCTAGAATCCTTAAAAGAAAAAACACACATTATCACACAGTTCTCTGGATAAAGCTTTATAAACAAAATAAAAAGAAGCCTTAAAGTATATAATAGATCAAAAACCACAAAACACCCCAGATTCACTAGAACCTTAATTATTGTTCAACAGCAAAATTCTGTAGCAAGGTATGTCCATGAGAGACACCACAAAGCACTTTCAATGTTACTCATTGCACTTCGTATCCGGAACCAAGCACAACAATTTGGATTCAAGCCAGAGTGTCATATGAAAACAACATTAGTGGTGATGATTAATTTATAGGCACAGCACACAGTTCTTCATCCTTTCACTTTGCAGTGCTTTCAATCACAGAAGTCGCAAAAACGAAGGCTCCATGTACTGGTTTTGGCTGGGATAGAGTCAATTTTCTTCAAAATAGCTGGTATGGTGCTATGTTTTGGATTTGTGACCAAAACAGTGTTGATAACACAGGGATGTTTTAGTTACTGCTGAACAGTGTTTACACAGCATCAAGGCTTTTTTTGTTTCTCACCCCACCCCACCAGGGAGCAGGCTGGGGGTGCAAAGAAGTTGGGAAGGGACACAGCTCGGACAGCTGACCAAAGGGATACCCCATACCATCTGAGGTTGTGCTCAGCAATAAAAGTTGGAAGAAAGGAGGAGGAAGAGGGGAAATTTGGAGTTATGGCATTTGCCTTCCCAGGTACCTGTTAGGTGTGTTGAGGTCCTGCTTTCCTAGAAACGGCTAAACATCTGCCTGCTGATGGGAAGTAGTGAATGAATTCCTTATTTTGCTTTGCTCACATGTGCAGCTTTTGCTTTACTTATTAAACTGTTCCATCTCAATTCAGGAGTTTTCTCACTTTTACCCTTCTGATTCTCTCTCTCATCCCACTGTGGCAGGAGTAAGTGAGCAGCTATGTGGTGCTGAGCTCCCTACTGGGGTTAAGCCACAACACTCCAACAGCAAATAAGTTAAATCAAGATTATGTGCCAAGTTAGAGCTGGATATTACAGTCCAGTTTAAGAAACTGTTGTGTGCCCCTATTCACTGCATCACTTGTTCTTTTCAGAGAAGCAGATACGTTATACTATGCACACGAACAGTGGTGCTACACACAATCTAGAAGAAAACATTTAGAAGATCTTGTATTTCATTGTATCTTCTACTGCATGCATTTTGGATTGCATTTTGTCATTTTCTTTCTCTGACCATATTAAGTTTGTATAATATTATGTCTCTCAATGTGAGCTTCTCCTCTCAGTCCTATTATTTGCAAGAGGAAGAGTTCTGGAAATCTAGTATGTTCAGTGATTTTGCCTACCTGAGAATTCCTGATGATTATCTGGATAGCTCTGTGCTCTTGGCATCCGAGATCTGGGATAGTTGTCTCTGGAAGTGTAAAAACATAGAGCATCTAAAAACTGCTGTTAATCTAGTACTTTAACATTTAATCTTACTGTCTCACAATTCTTTATGACTGATGAAAACTTATGGCTATAGAAGTTGCTGCACATGTTATGTGGAACCTAATTTAAAAAAATATATCATCAAATCTAATAGGTATCAATAATAATTCAAGATCAGTAACAACAGAAAAGCTTGCTTATTGAGCTTAATATAATAAGAAAGCAACAGACTGTGTTAATGAGCAATGATATTAGTAAAAATATGAATATCACAAGTAAAGCCACAAAGGAGCACTGCTAGGTTTAACACCTTCTGGCTAAACACAAAAGTTTATAGAGTGGCAAAATCTCTTATACAGCTTAGAAAAACTCTTGAGGAAATTTAACCAAAGAAACGCGGAACCTTTTAATGTCTCAAAATACAGGATTAAGAGAGTCATTTTATTGAGTTATAGAAGGAATGAATAATTTTTTGGTTCTTACATGATCATATTGTCTCTTATCTACAGTTGGTATGTAACTTCCAGCCACCAAAAGGCATGGATGGGATTGCCAGTCAGAGCAACCGATCACAGTGTATTTCCATAAACATACCAAAACAATGTCCTCATTTTCTAAGTATGAATTTCTCTAATGGGTAACAGAAGCTAAATGGAGACACAAAACCTACATCTTTGCAGGAAACATTTGAACAAAAAACAAACAAACAAAAAAGGATAACAAACTAAGTAGTGGAAGTAAATAAAAAACAAGCAAAAGAAGTTTTGAAGAAGAAACATTACGATTCAAATTAAGATTGCTTTGTTTCCCCCTTCCTCCACTCACCCTACCCCACAAAAAAAACCCTAAAAATGTGTCAATTTGGTTGAATTTCTATCCTATGTGACCATGTTAAACCTGGTGTGTGTATAACCTATCACACTCCAACCACAAAATACTTTTTGTGTCTACTGTTTTCTTACTTGTGAAATGGAGACTTGTTATTTAACTCAAAAATTTGTTAGACCAAATGTATTTGTGTCCTCAAATAACATTCTAAAATGAAATGGTACTATGGGATACTATAGCTCTGATTAATTGCCACAGGCAATTATTTCCAACTTTTTACCTTTCTACCAATTAAATAAAATATTTAATTAGCAGTATTATTTGTATAGCAGTTCCAAATCAATGAGGAGCCAATCTGAGCAATTAAGATCCAAGGTTATTTGCCTAACCAACCATAAGCCAAACAGGAGTATGCTCTGTTTGGCTTATCTGGTGGCTGAGAAACTGTGGACAGTGACACTCTCAAAACACATCAATTTCCTAACAGGTCAATCAAAACCTCCAGACCCACCACAGTACATACCACCTCTGGCTAAATGACAAGATTAAACACAGAAAAATAAGCGAAAAGTCTGTAATGGCAACAAGGGGAGAGGAATGGACAGTAATTGCAAAGAAAAGGAGAGGATTGTCTGTTGAAGTCTTTAAACAATTCTACTCTTTATTTTGAATTGGGTACCCTCTACATTGAAAAAGGGAAGCTTACTTCACGTAACAGTATCTAAGAAATGTAAATTTTATGGGGCAGCTCACTGCCAAGGAATATACTTCATATATATGTAAGACTGGCAAAATTTAGTAAAAATCTTCAGTACATTTTTGTAGGATCTGAAGTGTAAATTTGTGTTTCAAATGCAAATTATAAAAAAAAACAGAAAAAAGAAAAAGAAAGCTACTTGTATTTTCCATGCATTAGTAAGTGACTAAGTTTCAATAAGCTTTTATAAATGTTCTATAACTTACAGAGGAATTTCTGGAAGAAGTTCAGTAACAGCTGTCACTAGAGAGTTATTATATGTTACAACAGATACATTATGCAATCTAATAAAGATAAATAATTAATATAAGTAATTTTTACCCATCTAAAGGGCTGTCAAGTGAGGGACAGCTTCCTGAGCCAGAGTTTTCAGGACTGCTCAAAGACAATGGATCCAGCATCTAAAAATAACAAACAAAGACCAACAAGTTCAAATTTTTATGGTTTTGTGGTTTGGGATTTTTTGTTTGGTTTTGGGTTTTTTTAATACTTGAAGGTTTCTGCTTTGAAACACCTAATTTAAAAAATAAAAACAAACCAGAAATATCAATTACTAGAGAAAATGTTAGCTGCCATAGTTGAACCTGCATTGCATTCTGCAATCCTGAAAGTTATTTTTCTTGCATCTAACTAGAATATAGTTAAGGTATTTAATCCTCTATCATGCTTTGTACATAACAAGTTGTACCGCTACATTATTCCCTTACACAACATTGACTCTTAATATTATAGCAATATCTGCATGACAGTAGTTTAACAGCATAACAAAAATAAGGCCTTTAAAGGATAAAAAAGCTGAGACAGTTAAAAAAAGTGGACTTCATTGTCATCACCAAAGAAAAAAACACCTCAAATATGACACAGATTGTGCTGAATAGAATTTATATAATCTCTGTAGTGGCTTAACTCTGGCCAACTAGTAGTCACACAAAATGGCTGAAATCAAACACTGTAAAAAGCTTCTAAACTTTTATCTCTAGTTAGGACTCCAAGCGAGTTACACAAATTTTTAAATAGAACTGAAGAAAAAATGGAAGGAGAAAGAGGAAGAATACATAAAGTTTATAAACACTCTTTTCGACCAAACCAAAATCCTGTTTCAAATAAAATAAACTTTCATATGAAACTGGAGTTTACAAAAATACCAGACAGATGTTATTTTTCCCCAATACTTCTGACAACCTAGTAATTGAGTTGTGTGAAATCTGCCATGTATCAGTCTGAAGAAGTCAGAAAACCGACTATCTAGGCCAGATCTATTACATAATGAAAACAGTCATCAACACTTTCTCTGTTTCTCGAATTCTAATCCAGAGGAAAAAAAAACAAAAGGATTGCTATTCAAGAGGATGCTCTTGATTACCAGCTATTTCTATTGGCTGACATACGTTTTGTTTATCTCACACTACCACTCTGAAAGTCCTAAATCTAATGATAGGCAAAAATCATTCCCTTCTCTTTTGCAGTAAAGCAATCTGAAATGTTTTACAGATTTATTGTACAGAAGAAGTGGAAAGAGATTCTCAATTTTGAATTACTGAATGTGACAATTTTATCAGTTTGCTTCTTAAAGAGTGGAAAGCTCACGTGTTGTCTTAAAATGATCTCTTTCCTAAAATAAAGTTTATTTTGATACATGACATAACATCTATTATTTTCTATGAATTGGATACTAGTCTTTTACTGTAAATTAAGCAGCTACCCCTTCAATTTTTATGGTCAGTGCTGTATCTTAAAGGTCCTAGGTACATACTTTGCCAAGTACCAATCAAGAACTTATTAAAGAAATAGTGTCCAGAAAGTGAGTTTGCACTCTGCAAACTTGGACACTTAAATGAACTCTGTATTAGGGAGAACAACATTTACCATATTTTCAGCAATTATATTCCTCTTTTCTCATGCTGAACAGTTGGTGCTGAAAGGGAAAAAAGCCCATCTGCTGCCATATTAATTACCTCTATAACTTAATGCAGTATGGTCCAATTGGCAAACCATGGCCCACTTCTATCCAAATCATCATCTCTTCTGTAGAGAAAGCATGGGGTCTGCTGTCAACGTTAATAGCTGTGCTCAGACAGATCAACAGGAGAGCAGAGCAAAGCCCTCCACTCTCACATTCCCTTCTCGTCCTTGTGGGGCAGGCTGTGACAGATGTGGGCAGCATGGTCAACACTTGCCAAAGTGATGTGGCAACTTAGGGGGAAGGGAGCAGAGGTTGTGAGTTCCCAATCTGGCCCTTAAGGCTGCATAGGCTGAACTAACTTGCCTTCCTATGAAAGCAAAATTCCTGTATTTAAACCCTGCTGACCACTTACACAGCAATGCGTACATGACAGGTTACACGTTTCTTGAATACGCTAGAGTGAAAAGACATCCTGCGCCTCAGAGAACATCTGGTTGTTTGACCAGTCAGTAACCAAAAATGACTTTGCCCAGGCCAAAAGTAATCATTTCACTGAATGAATCGAGGTCTGGGCTGGATCTGACCACGTGGCTATGATGATGAATAGCACCCTGGTCTGGAAATGAGGAGATTCAGCCTGTATTCCCAGCTCAGTCATTAAAATCGTGCAACAAATTGCACCATCGCTTTGCCTCTATTTTTATTCTATCATCTGTCTCTCATTTAGTCAGGTCATAAAAACCATTGCCTCTTGCCATTTGTGAATACAGTGCCAATGTCAACAAGAACTTAAAGTGATTCGGGTATGCAGCATTATTTTATTTTGCTCCTTAAAATATCTCTTTCTCTATTGTCAATTCTGTGAGCCATTACATTCCTCCATCTTTTCCTGCTGTTTTTAAGGGCAATTTTGATACTCAGAGAGTAGGATTTTTATTCATGCTAAGCATGCTCATATCCCACACCAATAATGCAGGTGCATAAGGAGAACAAGATAGCATACATTTGTGATCCTCACACAAAAATGTGACAGTGGAAAGTATTTCAGAGATTATTTAAATCAGGCCCATCGCCATCCCCTTGCTTCTATCCCAACACAGTATCAACTGAGTCCAAATAATTCTGACAGATCCAAACTCTTCTTTAAAACCTCCTTTAATTACCTGGGAAAGCTGTAAAACTGGTCTTGCTTACATATCCTTCTCATTAAAATAAAGGAGTTTGTGCTTTCTAATGTAGACATCTCTTATCGTAATTTATATCTGTCACTACCTCATTCAACTATCATGGAAATTAAGAATATTATCTTTCTCCTTGTAGCAACATATTTAAATAATTGAAGAGACTTACAGAGAAAAAAACAGGTTCTACAAGACTAAACAACCACAGTTATTTTAACCATCTCTCACAGATCACATTTTCTAGGTTTGTCATTTTTTAAGCTGTTCTTTCTAAAAATTCCATATCCTTCTTGAACAGCAGTATTTCATAAATCAACCTAACAAACCCTGTAATTTTAATAAATCGTACACGTACCTGATCCATACTTTCTGGAATGAATTCACCCTCACTGTTGATACTGGTGAAAGACCCATTTCGGGCCACCTGATGCAGCTCATCTGGAATGTATCCTGGGGGAGGTGAACTCCTATCACGAGTATTAGAACCTTTCGAAAGAAAAGGGCTAGTCAGAGTCTCTTCACTAACCCAGAACCCAGGGGCTTTATTCAAATGCTTCCAAGGCACTGAGCCTGCCTGGATCACTTCTTGCTTTAGAAATTTCCCAAATGCCTATGCAATACAAGACTTACGTACAGCATTTAATATATGTAACCCAGGAATTATAAAAAAATCAGGGCAGGGTTGCTTCAACAGCATTAAAAAGAATTTTCATTATACAGGAACAGAAATATAATTTGCCCGCACATCTAGCTAGGTAAATTTCTTCTTTTCAAACAAAATAAAAATCCAAACCATCCCACCCATGTCAACTAATCCTTTCCAACTCCTGAGAATTTCAGTTTTTCTTTGTAGAATATTATGTCTGCAAGAACATGAATACTTCTATTCACAATAAATGCATAATAAATTAATTAAATGGTCTGAAAAATTATTCATTAAACTCTCCAGTTTCATAATTAAATTTGGAAGTTAACATCACACCAACTTTAAACATGAATAAGCACAAAAGGTTATATCAATGCCAAAATAAGTATCTTAAATGTTCACACATTAAGATTAAAAAAAATAGGGGAGTCCTAAATTGATCAAGGAAACACACAGCCATATAAACAAACAGAATTTTCAGTAACTCCTTCCTGTATCTGAAAATAAAGGGGAGTACTAACATCAACTTTTTAGGATACCCATCAGTTACCTCAAAAAATACTACATAATTTATTTACTTGTGATTTTTTTTTTGTTAACTTTCTGTATTCTATATATTTAAACCACTTTTGACTTAAAATTCAAAATTCACTGCCCCCAAGTGCAAACTCCATAGTACGGTCATTGATAAGTAAGACAAATTCCAACAGTCTGTGTTGAGAGCAAGATCTTCATGAAGAGAAGATTACAAAAGAAAAAAGTTTTTACAATTAAAAGCTATTGAAATATGTAGCTTACCTATTACAGACAGTCGCCTTTTTCTGTCTGTCACACCAAACACTGTATTATCTAAATCTTCCAGTGAGGGCAAGGGTTCCACGTTATTTACACTGGGTGACTGAAAATGTATACATATTACCACAACTGCAGTTATTACTTTATACTCCTGACAATGAAAATACTTCACAAACTTTATAGGCTTCGTACAGTACATTCCTTTTTTCAAGCAGTCGAAAAGAAGCTTGCCAATTTATATCAAAATTAATCTATTTTAGTAGCTTGTTCTTAGTATTTCAAAATAATTTTCAATATGTACTAGTATACAAATTCTATTAATATCATGGCCACAATGCATCAGATAATCACAGAATTGTAACTCAGTATTTAGCCTATAGTCCACTGCTGCTGTTTGCTACAAAAAACATTTGATTTGCCACAAAGGAGTGTCACCAGCATCTGACTTAACAGTTTCGAGTAACTACAGTTACTTAAATTCTAAGCAGTTCTCAAATTTGTATCATATCATCATTCTATTAAGAAACACTTTTCTACCACTGTAAGGAAGGCAAACAAAGAGAGAGGAACAGGATCTAGGAAACAGTTAAAACTGAGTCAATACAAAATGCTAAAAGATGCTTAAAGTGAACTGAACAAGCAATCAGTAATATTTTCAGCTGGAAAAAATGTAATCTTTAAGAAAAGATACAATTACTTCAATATGAAAACTGAGGAAAGACATTTAGCATTTCAACTGGTACCTGTGTATTTCCATGTATTACAAGCAATATCTTGAGACTCTTCATATGCACACTACGGTCAAGCAGTTCAACAGCTTTGTCCAGGTCATCCTGGGTGGTTAATGGAATTACAAGCTACAAAAAGGGGGAGGGGGGGACGACGACACATTAAAAAATATCTTAAACAGGACACAAGAAAGAAATTAGGAACTCAAATGCAGAGAAACAAATAAACTGATTCTATCTTTCCTTTCATTCCAAACAACTTGAAAATAAAAGTTATTATAAATGATGCCTCAAGTTAGCACCAAAATGTCTGAAATTCAATCTTAACTCTTTCTTCAGATGCCTTCAATAGGTACAGCATGGTGGAGCAAGTCTTCACAATGAAGGAGCAACCATTTTACATACATATGACTTAATATCCTACAAGTTTCAGAGAAGCATGTGCAACAGTGTCAATGTATTTGCCATCACCTAAATCAATGCAAGTCTAAGATAAATAAAAATAAGACCTATTTTATAGACCATAAAGCACATTTTTGTATCTCAGAATATTGCAACTATATTTGTTTGAAGTTGCATCATTAACAGAACTGCTTCACTGAAAACCAGAATTTGTTAAGGAAGCATATCAGGCATGATGTGACCCACATGGAACTGTAGTCCTCACTAGAATCTTACCTGGATCTAATTAATTAGAATTAGCTTGACATATATGTATCTTTATAACAGAAAGTTTTATGCAATCAGAATACAGATCTCAAGTGCACTTTATAACAATTAAAATTGGGCTTTGTTTCAGGAGCATAAATTACAACTTCTGCTTGTAACAAAGTATCAACGCAATATAGATTTTTAAAAATCTATTCTACTTGTAAACAGTCTCAGTGATGCTCAAACATGACAGCAGTTGAAATACAGTACTTTTATACAAAAAGAAATGGGAATGAAGGAGGAAAGTCTTGATAACAAGTGTGCAGACTCTTCATTTTAAGTCGTAGTCTTAATGCTAATAACAGGTTATTACCATCACATTTCTGAAAGGCAATGGGATGATTTGCCAACTACTGCAGAGGCTGACAAGCAGAAAACCTGCTCAAATGCCTAAAATTCTATCAGAGGAAGGAGCTGAGGCTAAAGAATCATGAATGGCCATTTCTTCTGACCTTCATAAACTCCAAAAGCCTTCTATAGGAATTCTTCAGTTTCACAGAAGTGCCTGGCAAGGTACCAAACAGCAATTACAGGCATTTTCTTCTGCAAAGATGCAGATTAGATACAGCAAGTATGTTGTGCATAACCAGGCACACCAATAATCCTCTGTGCACTTCGGTGAATCAAGGCAAAAACCAGAAGTAACTCCTAAGACTGGATCCTGCATCTGTAAATACATTTCCTATTAAAAATGCCATCTCTAATTCTAAAAGAAAGCTGGAAGTAATATTGATGAGGCATAAGTGGTTTGAAGGCACTAGCACTACTCCCAAGAAATCTTTGTGAACCAGCTACATCAAGAGGAGCAACAATTAAGCCTAGTTCTCAAATCCAAACATTACTAAATGCAGCATTCTAGTGATTACCTAAAAAGATTAATCCTTAAAGAAATGAAAGTGTACAAGGAAGTATAAGTATTATTTCAAATTTACAAACACAACAAAGCTCAAAGAGGTAAAGACTTTCCCAAAGTCACACAACAGGACTGTGGCGGAGCAGGAAGACAATTTACCCATTCCCAATCAAGTTTGAGACATAATTCATTAAGATGAAACTCTCCTCATAAAACTTTTCATGCATCTCCTGCCTATTCTAATTTAGGCAAGCCTTACATATTTGAGAACACACACATTAGAAATCTGGGGTTTTGTCATGGGAGTAAGTTTTGTCACAGGAGTGGTTCTCATTGCTTACGAGAGCAAATTTCAGCCTTAAAATAATCAATGTACAAGTCACTGAGAACTTAGAGACACAGAATATTACCTCATTATTGCTGTAATGTAAATCCATAGTCTGTCCAAAAGCAACTTTAGCTTTAGCTGCAAGATCTTCAAGTTTAACAGGCCTTGGTAATTGCAGAATCCTGAAACACAGTAAGTTATAAAGAATTTTTGCCCATTACTTATGAAAATCTGGCAACTTATTACTTAAGAACAATCCTAGAATTAAATTTATTACTAAAAAGACCATAAGAAGCTATGTTTTATTCACTGTCCTCCATATTTTGGGTCATTAAAAACGGAGAAAAGCAGTGAAAAGGTTATAAGGGATAATCACACATAAAATTACATCTCATTACGACTATTTTACTTACTTGCATATGGCTTCTTTCTTAACTTAATGCTTTGCATGCCTTCAATCCAGAGGTAAATTGTTAGAAACTTCTAAAATTTTCTGCTTCAGAAAACTAAGATAATAGAATATTGTAGGCTGACAAGCATAAGCATCAGAAAGGAATTACTCCTACAGTCGTCATTTTTTGGAAATCCAAAAGACTATCTTATCTGAGGAAGGTAACTAAATGTCACCATCTTTACCACAATGAATTACACACTCAAACTGCTGAGTCCATCACTAACTGTGCTTTAAGTGTGCTCCTGTAAGAATGGTGCAGTTGTAGGTCAACAACTCAGGTTTTCTTTTAACTCAATGTCTTGTCAAACCAAATATCCCAAAATGCCTGTAACTGACCTTTTACTATAGAAAACTATTGTATTATTTGAGACACAACACCATTAAACACAAAACTAAGCTAGTGACACTCAAATTTTGTGAAGCAGAAAAATTAGCAAAAGGTAGCTGTCCCTTTTATCAGTGTTTCAGTTGGTACTCTGGTTAGGGAACAATATTTCTCACTGAAATGAGACTAGAGGCCAGACTACTTCCAATTAATAATTATTTTGAAAAAAGAATCTTAAAAAAAAACAAACCAAAAACCAATGCCAGTTCTCACTGTAGTTTAGTGGTTTAGCAAGCCTGGAACTCTGTCCATCACACTGTTTGCTCCTTGGTACAGAGTGCCACATTCACTACTGAAAGAAACTCTGGAATCACTTCTCTTTTCCACTTCCCTTTTTGAAAAATTAGTGAGAAAGCCATTGCATAACTTATTTTTCTTGCATCATTTCATTATTTTATCTTTTGTTGCCTGAGCACATAGATCTAAAGTATGCTGAGCAATGAGCCTAGGCTACCCAGTACCTCTGGGCAAGCGGGCTCAAGTTACTTGGGACAGTGCAAAACAGAGCTATGCTCGTCAGCATAAAAGCTTGGGAAAGGTATCTTTCCACACACTTACTTCATGCTTGCATTCATATTAAATTGATTAACATAGTCCACTGTGAAAGTGAATTAAGATGAACTGCAACAATGCACTGTCCATGCAGACTGGCAGTGAGTAAACAGTTCCTTGATTTAAATTCATGCTTCTGCTTATTTCACAAGAAACTGCTAGATAGAAGAGTCCCCAATTTTCAAAGCTTTTGAAAAGACTTGTTTCCTTCAAATTACTTACAGCACTCAACCATTACTCATGCAATGTTACAGGTGATGTTCAGAAAAGCGATACAAAGAAGCTGAAGAATGTTAATACCTAGGGAACTTACTGCTGTTTCACTACTCCATGTAAAAAGAGGGCACAAATTGTAATCAGCACAGGTACACACTCATCTGTTGCACATCACACTAACGACTGCCCAGAAGTAGCGTAGGTTTCATTCTGAGGCAATCTTTACTTAAGGAATTTACCATTTCTATTAACAAACAGCATGACCAGAATATTATTTCCTTTTTCATTAAGTATTTTCCAACATCTTAGTCTATAACCATTTCTCTGTAAGTACAATGAAGGGTTATGCTTTCAGAAAGAGACAAACAGACGAAAGGAGTTGTCCACAAATCAGTTCTGCATGGAATTGTAGATTGACTTCTGTAAAAGCTTTTGAGCAGCCATCAGAGCGGAGATACATAGATAGATGTCTATATACTTTAAGCATGTACATCATTCACCTCTCACAGAATGAAAAATTTAAAATGATTATTCAAAATTATCAATGAAAACAATCTAATTATCAAGTCTAATACAGTTCTCAGTTTGGTTCCTCCAAAGTACAATCCAATATTGAGCTTTAAGATCTAGGCTTCTTCCTCTGGGTGCTACAGTAACAATATATTATCATGCATTTATTACACAAATGATGGAGCAAAAAAAATTATTTGCTGGTCTACTCATATTTGAGATCTATGCTAATGCTCTAAGTAATTGTTCTAGGCTACAAACATCTATCTGAAGGGTGAACAAATGAAAGATATTACATGGGACATAAATGCAGAAGTATCTTACTATGCATACTTAGAGCCCACATTTTAAACAGATTAATTCTCCTTAAATTGCATTCATATCAAAATTAAATTTAAGCTCAAATACACTCAGATATCTGAAACACTTTGAACAGTTTCTTTGAACCTTTTTGATAGGAGCCCAAGAAAATTCTATAAATAATTAAAAGACAAGACAGTTTCCTGTGTTCTGACCTTACCTTTTTTCACCTCGATGTTCAAATTTGACTCTAACATCATTCTGTAAGAAAAGAGATAAAGGAACCACTATTAGTTTGTTACCACCTCCTTCAATGAAGGCCATGAAATCCTATTCAGTCATCCTACACCAAAAGTCAAATCCTTAAGCAGTCCATATTCGTTTTCTGATATACCAAGCATTTTAACAAGCTACTTCTGCTGAGGTATCTGATAGATGCTTAAAGGGTGTAAAAAACCCAAAAAATTATTCTGAAGTACAAGGAATGCTTCTGTAAGTAAACACATTATTTTCTATCAATATATTTTAATATTACAACAGAATCCTGATTTCAAATTTAGCGTGAAACTGATTACTAAAGAATTCTCTATCATCAACAGGCAGGTAGATTTCGCTTCCATAACAGATTTTTATGTATACTGCAGAGCTGAGCATTCCAGGCTTAAGAAACATATTTTGTTTCATAAGCATTACCATAGAAACCCACACATGTAATTAGGCCAGCATTCATGCAATCAATTTCCCAATAACAATAACTTGATACTTGATCTGCAGTACATGGAAATAAAATTGCTTTGCAAAATCATAATTTTAAGAATCAAACTGTACTAGCAACTATTGCAGGAAAAAAAATAATACATTCAACCACACCAATTATATCCAAATAACAATGTTGTATCTTCCAAAAGAATTACTTGTGCATCAAGTGATTACTTTCAAAACTCACAAATTTAAACAGAATGACAAACGTGTATTTCCACCTCACCACTACACTTAAACTCAGCAACGGCTCAACTATTTTTTTTTCTAACTTTCTAAACATGTATTGTATTCAAATCATTTTGGATCATATATTCACATTACTACAATGTCTAAAGTCACAGCTCAGAAATTAGTTACATTCAACTAACAACGCACCATTGTGTTATATACTGAACTCTTACAGCTTTTAAAGCACAGAATGAAAAAGACGTAGCCATTAGGTTTTGACAGTTTAAGAGCCAAATATATTCAAATACTTTGATCTTTAACAGGTTAAAAAAAAGACGGCACAAACTGAAGTTTCATGAAATATTGGACTGTCAATTAAGGATCCAATCAAATAAGCATACAGTTCACTCAGTAGGGCTATTACAACAATTTGGGTAAAAATCTACATCCTCTAGTCTCCTAATCTCTCCATACAGCAGTTCAAAACTATCAACCAAGTATTTACTACTTTTCCATCTGTGTTCAGTATCTGCAGGAAAAAAAAAAACCCAGCTGAGAACTCCTCACATTTCTAGCATACGAACAAACAAGAAACTGAGGACAAAGATGCAGTAAAGGAGCTTAAGTATGTTTCTGCTGCTGTACTGACATTCTTTAGTACGATACAGCTGACAAGTGGGCAATCTAATATACCTATAAAATTCATTCTAAAGAAGTATTCCAAATAAGAGATACTAGCACATCTTGATATTTTGAAGTAGTCTAATACCAATATAATAATAATAATATCAATCTAGACACAGTGTCAAAATACCCCTACAATCTTCAATTTGTCAGGACTGGAGTCATTTAAGCATACACTATGATCTGGTCTGAAATGCCACCATTTCATTTTGCTGCTGATTTAAGAACACGAACAAAGAAAATGGCAGCACACGTGGGAGACTAATAGCTTATTCTGGTACGCTCACTGGTCTGGCAAGAAAAATAATTATAGAAGTCACAGCAGGACGTTCCGTGTTCAATAGGTTAGTAAGGATATTAAAGATTACCTGTTTTTTAGGTGAAGACGACTTTGGTTTTCCTGTTTCTTGCTGAGGCAATACAGGACGACTGGCCTTGTGAAGCACAGCCAAATCCTGCATGATTGAATTCAAAGCTTGCTGCTCATCTGCTCAGAAGAAAAGACCAGATAAGAGAAGTGTAAATGACTGTTACATTTGAAGTGCATTACTGTCTCATTTCACAATTAGGCAGTCATCATTCTAAAACCTAAAAGTCCATATTACACTTCAATATATAATTGCCAAATTGAAAGAAATTACTGCCATGTTGCAAACATTTTTATTTTATTTATCATTAACACTTCTTAAGGAAATAAACAGCTTAATCAGTAAATACACTTAAATGGCAGGTTTAAAAACCTGAAGTCATAACAGAGATAATACAGCTTGCAGTTCTGTGGAGTTGTCAACTACAAGAAGGACAGAAAAAAGAAAAAAAAAAGGTTTATTTACTTTGTTTCAAACAACGTCCATGGATGAGATTTTAACTAGAAATCATACTTTCCCCCTAATTCATAAAATAAAGAAAAAACCAAGTACTTTTGCATCATTTTTCCTCTGTCCTGAACAGGTATAGTCATGCACATAGGAAGTGTACACAAACTCCCAGAGGAATACCTCCATTGTTTGGGCATCTGCTGGCAGCCCACATAGTAATTAAAAATAAAATTAAAATACTAAAACAAACAAACCCACCACAGAACTTTTCCAGGACTGCAAATGTAGGGGTTTTAAGGCTCACAGGAGTAATTCACAAGGAGAAACAGAAGCACTGAACCTAAAGGGACAATTTAGGAGTAGGAGTGGTATGCAGCTTTGATTTCAAGTTCACACAAAATCCTAAATCCTGATGATCTGCTGCAGCTGTGATGGCCTGCAGCCATGCTAGACAAGGTCTGCCCTGGAACTGGGATGCTCCTTTAGACAGGAAAGCACTTAAGAGCTCAAAAGCCTGTACATCCATCACTAAGGGAAATTTATTTGTCATTAATATTTTGTATTAATTCCCACAGCAACAGTTCTATACTCAATGTGCACCTAGAACACTGGATAACAAAATTTATCTGGAAAGGTGTTGATTGTATGCCTTCACACTACTCTACAATGGATATGTTTGTTGAAGAATTCATTGCTAAGTGCTGTGGCTTACAAAGAACAGTATTTCTCAAACATGGACCTAAGAAAAACTCAGCATTAAAATCAGCAAGCGAGCATTCCAGGTATTCAGCAATGATTAGAATTCCTTCACACTCTATTCAAATATAACCAAATGTATTTGTCATATCAGGAAATTGTGAGATTTCAGTGTTCCAATTTAATAGATTCCTAACAGATCAGAAAGCTGGTCTGAAAATGAATAACTCTGATCATCACTCATGCTGTCATTATTCACAACTCTACTAATATATGCAAATCTATAAAAGCAAGTTTTACCAGCAATTTTTAATGGCAGAACTGAGGGCATTCTCGCAGCTCACTTTCTCACACTAAAACACATTTCAAAACTTGCCACAATTTAAAAAGTTAAACTATTAAACTATTTTACTGTGTTATAGCCTATTCTAGCACTCAGGGATTAAAAAAAAAAAGTTCTTTTAGCAGTTGGTTGGAGGAGGTTTAATTTCCAGTGGTCACTATGTAGCGTATTTCATACAAAGGAAATCTAAGCATTGTGGCAAAGCATCTAAAGTTTACTTAATATCCAATATGACTCAACAGTCATTTCTCTCACACAAAATGCTGGAGAACCTCAGAAATCTATAGAGTGCTGTATTTCTAGATTCAGCTACTTTATTATTAAGCATGAAGTTCAGAAAAAATAGCATAATAATAAAAGATAAACAAAAGCAATACGAAAGTGTATGTTTTCGTTGGTTTGTTGGGATTTTTTTGAGAGTGAGCACCAATAACAACATTGCCAACTAATTAAAAAGCATATACAACTTGAAAAACTGACATCAAATTTATAGTAATGCAAATGTGCTACATATTTAGAAAAACACAGTTAGACCATCTACACAGTCCTGGCTTTGCACTCCAATGACACAAGATGATACGATAAAATTCTTTAATATAGATTTTGTGGGGGATTTTTTCCCCCAATAGCCATTACCATTTAGAGCACAGTAAATAATGCTCAGTACCCTAATACCATGAATCTCAATTTCCTATACTTGGATTTTTAAGCTACCACATAATGAGGGAAAAGTGCTAATTCCAACGGAAAAAAAAACAGAATTATTTTGAATACTAGCAAAGCAGCTGAACACTGCCTTTCATGTAGATGTTACACTGAAATACACAGCCAAAGCACACATTTCCTAGGAATGGTTTTACATTAATGTTTTTGGACTTCAATAGAAATGAAAAGTATCCGAATTAAATGTTTATATACATTACACACAAGACTTACCCATAATGGCAGTGAGCCTGAAAACTTGAACTTCAGGGAAATAGTTGCTTCATTAGCATTATTTTATTTCCTAAAATACAAAACCAGATATACACAATTATTGAAGCTGACAAAGCCATGTAAAAGAGTCAATTCTTCACTGTTCATGGGCAGTTTTTCTAATAGTCTACATAGCAATTATGCATATAAACTATAAATAAGATTGCATATGTAGATATGACATGTGGAGAAAACAGATATTGTCCCCAAAGCCCCACTGAGCTCTGAGCAACTGGGCTCTGTTTAGAGACATGGTTTAGTGGTTGGACTTGGCAGTGCTAGGTTAATGGTTGGACTTTATGATCTTAAGGGTCTTTTCCAACCAAAACAATTCTGTGATTCTATATAGACTTTCAGAAGACATAAAGCCCAAACTAAATATTCTTCTAGACTTAAGGTGATTTTAGTCTCTATCTACACCCTCAAATGATGATTAGTATTTTAATTAGCCATAACACTCTGCTACATGGGATATCCACTACTCCACATTATTAAGAACAGATTCTTTTTCTACAGGTTCCTATATCTGGTGTTCAAAGTTCTGTGTTCAGAACTACATATATATAGTTCATATATAAATAAATATATATGAAACTCAGAGCACAAATCAAGAGGCATCGATAGCTACTGATTATATAAAACCAGAAAATTTCAATTGGTAAGTTTTTTTCATCATAATTCAAGAGCATTACACAGATATCCCAATACTCCTGAAAGCAAATGCCTCTGGAATACTGCAGGTATAATTTTTAAATATACAATATACAAGTTATCCAGAAAAGCAGAAACACAGGGGTCACATTTACGTACAAACCCTGAAGATCACAATATCTTGAACATCAATTAAAAAAACCCCAACAATTAAGGACCAATTAAAATAATCTTTCTACGAGATGCTATTATGGAGCTTAACAGCTAAGAACTAAAGAGAAGCTACACCAACAGAAAAGGAATTATTTTTTTTTTTTTTTTAAACGGAATTTGTTTTCTCCTGGTTTAATTCCTTACCAGTGTCAAATGACCCCTGATACCAGCACAGGGCCACTGGTGGAAGCACGTGGCTGAGAATAGAGGAGAGGTGGGCCAGCCAGCCAGGCTTCCTTGCTGGAATATTTTGTCAATTTTCTAGCTAACAACAAATTAATTACAACTTCCCAAAGAATTTCTGAGCATCTTCAGTTAGGCATCTAAGAGTTTCTGGTATTGTCTCTTACATACTTATTTCATGAAAACAGCCTTTTTAAGCAGCATTCATTTCACCAGTGGAACTAGAAAGCTTCAAGTACTTCTGGGATATTTTTCAGAGAGAAATTTGGACTTGAGAGCCATATAAAGGTCTCTGCTGTATACTGCCTTTTACCTACATATTGGATGAATCATTTACTATTGTCTATTTCAAGCTCCATAATAACCAAGAAAAGATCAGGCTTTTAAAGAAGATCCAGAGGTCCCACTCCGCTATCAGAAATCATTTCAGTTGAGAGAACATGCAAGAAAGCACACTGGAACTAAAATAAAGCTGAAAATATGGTACAAGTCCATTCAGAGTCTATGGACAGCCTCAAAACAGGACCTGAAACAGCTTCCAAGTGTTGTGGGAAATGCTTTGTAAAGTATTAAAGCCCGCAAGAGTGTGAGAAGTCCATCTGGCCTGGGCTGCCCATAGTCTCAAGACACAACCCCAACCTTTACCATTAACATGGTCTCCAGCCTTTTGATGCCACCACTGCAGGAGACAAAAATCTGTTTCAAAAAAATTAAAAAAGAAAAAGCTTCTGTTGCTCCATAACAGACAAGGAAAACCATGAAGATACAAAAGAAAGGGATTTGTACTAATCTTCACAGAGAAAAACAGTGGCTGAATTTTCATTTATTTGCCAAATTATAGTAGCCAAGATCACTCAAAATAAGGACAGAGTATTTGGGCCTTGCTCTCACACAAGATGCCAGGACATCTGGTTTTCTTAGTGAACTGGGATTACCTTTATAGCCTTAAATATCACAATTAATTTTTTCTTCCATGTCTGATTCTTTGCGTCTTTTGCATCCCTAAGAGTCAAAACCCCAAAATAGAACATATATTCAATGATTTCCTACGCTATGTTTTTTGCCAGCAGTAGTCCTGGGGGATATTCCAGAGAGTTATTCACTAAAATGGTTATAAAACATTTTTCAAAATTCTGTATTTGATCCAACTGCCTGAAAATGAGTGTTGTTTTCATAGAGCGTCTATTTAATTAGCTGTCTTAATATATTAAGCATAGAAATGTGTTTCATGACTTTGGATGAAGTACTTCTGTAATACTTCCTTGTAAGCATTTCAAAGAAATACAAAAGTTCTGTGAGGCATTTTAAATCTTCTGCCACACTTTATGAAAACAAGAACAAGTTATATCTCCAAACAAAATACCCCAGATGTTCTTCCTCAACCTAGCTGAAATAACCAAATTTGGAAGATCAAGATTTGAGCTACAGGGCTCATAAAGGGCAGGGAAGCAGAATAAGAAGAAACATCTTAGGAAACATCTTCTGCAAGTTCCTCCAGCTGTAAGAATTCATTCTTCAGTATTAATCTGTGGCAGCTCTCATTAGAAAAACGTAAGCTAATGAGCGAGCATCCATTTCTTTTCCCTTCCATTTCCTTCTTATT